GGTGAGTGAAATAGCTTGGGACTGCTTGGGACCGTTGTTCTGGTACTGAGTGAGCCAAAAATAATAATGATTTTCTTCGGGACCCAGTGGTCTTAGAGTTACCTCTATGGTTGTACGCAATGGTGACGTAGGACTACGTGGTCTTATATAATAAATGGTAATGTGTATCTTAATTCAGCCAGGTATTGATCTGAACCATATTTCAATTATTTTCCTTACCTAATTTTTATATTTTCATTTTTTGTTCTATTTACTATCGTACAGATTTGTCTGGAATCTGATGAAATATTGCTTGAAGCCAATGCCCATGATTGTGCTGGGTAATTAAAATTTTTATTCAACAGATTGCGTTCAACGTATCCACATCGAATAATGGCCGCACCAAGCAGACCGCTCGTAAGTCCACCGGAGGAAAGGCTCCTCTCAAACAGATGGCCACCGGAGGAGTGAAGAAGTCTCATCGCTACCGGCCAGGAACTGTCGCTCTGCATGAGATCCGTCGTTACCAGAAATCGACCGAGCTGCTGACTGAAAGTTACCTTTCAAGCGTCTGGTCCGTGAAATCGCCCAGGACTTCAAGACCGATCTGCGCTTCCAGAGCTCGGCCGTTAATGGCCCTACAGGAATCCAGCGAGGCCTATCTGGTCGGTCTGTTCGCCATCCATGCCAAGCGTGTCACAATTAATTCATGTTCCATTTTCGGTTTTCACAATGTGTACCCCCATATAGAAATCACAGACGTCCTACGTCAAAACCGTAGGTCGTGTCATGGATACAACCTCTTATTCTTTTTGTCAACATTATTTTCATAAGGCAAATCATCATTTCTTATCGGGAACTTTGCTAACGCTGCTTTCGAACATTTAAAAGTTCAATAAATCATCAAAACCTCTTTCATGCTGGAAATCGATTTGTGGCCCTGAAAAGGGCCGATTGATTGTTTGGATGGTATGAACATAGAGGTAACTCTAAGACCACTGGGTCCCGAAGAAAATCATTATTATTTTTGGCTCACTCAGTACCAGAACAACGGTCCCAAGCAGTCCCAAGCTATTTCACTCACCCCTGCATGTTCTGCATGAATCCACACACCCCTGATGTTATCTGTCAAACTTTCATAGCGAATCAAAACAAACATAGTGTAGTAATAGAATTTCAACTAGAATAGGGTACGTTAATCGTTTGCTTGGGACCAATAGGCTACTAAAGTGGTGAGCCAATTTAAAATCGTTAGTTTCGTATTGATTGTTGGTATGAATTTACTTGGAGCTAGTGTACTTTGTGACGGCCTTGGTTCCTTCAGAGACAGCGTGCTTGGCCAACTCACCCGGCAGCAGCAGACGGACAGCAGTTTGGATTTCGCGGGAGGTGATCGTCGAGCGTTTGTTGGATTGAGCCAAACGGGACGACTCAGCAGCGATGCGTTCAAAGATGTCATTGACGAAGCTGTTCATGATGCTCATGGCCTTCGACGAGACTCCGGTGTCCGGGTGGACCTGCTTCAACACCTTGTAGGTGTAGATGGCATAGCTTTCTTTCCTGCGCTCTCTCCTCTTCTTCTTCTCTCCCTTGACAGTGACTTTCTGCGCCTTTCCGGACTTCTTGACGGCCTTTCCATTGGTTTTCGGTGCCATAATTTAGCTGTTTGCTTCGGTAGAGAATAACTGATAGTCGTTTCGACGGTGGTGTCCTAGGTGGTGTCTCGTTTTGTGCCCGTAGCATAAGAAGCGAAACTCCTCCCCTTTTCAGAATTTTGCTACCCACTGTACGTATTGTACCCTCCCTGTATTAATAATATGCTACTCGACGCAGGTATAAGTACACCCTCGACGGGTGAAATAAACCTATCTGATCGGTCTGTTCGCCATTCACGCCAAGCGTGTCACAATTATGCCAAAGGACATTCAGCTGGCTCTTCGTATTTGTGGTGAACACTCTTAATTTTTCCATCGAAATCTATAAAAACCGGCCACTAAAAGATTCCACAAGAGAGTTGGGAAGGAAATTTCTGCTGCTTACAACTGATAGCATCACAGTGAATCCTGATCTAAAAATTGCAACCAGCAAGTGCCCTAGAACCAAAAGCGGTGCGATGCTATGACGATGACTGTAAGGGGCTTAGAAGTAGAAGGGTGAAAGCCAATTCTCTTTTTCGATTTCCTCTTTTGTGATGACCATGGCTTCCCATTTCGCGCTATTTCTATCATCCACACCAATAAAGGTGGTATCAATGAATGTGTTTGCCGCCGAGTTAACGTTATCTGACCGTGCACTTCGTAGTTGCTCCTCCGTGAATGATCACAACTAATCCACTTGCACAGAGAACTACATGATGGGTACATGGGATAAGGTTTCCATCTTCAATGTACATTACACATTAATTCAATCTATAGATCAATTCACAGCGCCGGCCACGTACTCACGGTCTTTTGGGGAGGGAAGGATGATAAATTCGACGTCCGGTTGTTACTTGAGACCGAGAATACCTCTACATCTCCACGGCTGTCTCGGGAAGGATTGTTGTGTTAGTAAGGAAGGTTATTTTTAGATTAGGATTCACTGTGGTAAGTGATGCGATCGGTTAAGGGGTTACCCTAATAAAATTGTTATGGTTATTTTGCTTAACGACGTGTTTGGGGTATCATCCAAACCATTTGTGGAAAAGTTCTACTATTTATGTTATTGTTCGGTTATGTTATTTGTTTATTAGGGTACGCCTACCTGCAAACTTTCAAAAAATCGATTTTTTTTACTGTCCTAATCGAAAGTATATAAAGTCAAGAATATTTCCTCAAAAGATCAAGTTGATCCAATGAAAATTGGGAAAGTTATGCGACGTACAAAAATATTCACTTATAGTGGACTAAACCCAACTTGAAACTTTAAACGCGATTATCTCGGAATCATATTTTCAAAACCGGTGCCAAAAATTTCTCGAAATGTATACATTCGATTCGTCCGATTCGTTTTGATTTCTGTTCAGTACTATTTTGTGCAGTCCACGATCGTTCGGATTTCGTCTATCATTTAATTTCGATTTTTTACAGCCGATCAAAGACAAATTTTAAGGATCAAAAATCGGCACTTCAACTTTGCAAGGCCGCCATTTTGTCAAAAAACTTTTAAAAAAAACCGAACGATCAAGGACTAGTTTAACACATGCTTAACGATTTGGCATGTTTTTTTTTATTTCAGATGATAACATCACAAACCGCAGTTGGCAGTTGACACCGCAAAAAGCGTTTTTTAGAACATTGTCCACGGGGAGCAGCCGTGCGGGGCACCAGGACCTCGTTTTTACATCATCGACTGATAAATGTACCATTTAATGTGTGTTCAATAAATGGCAGAAAACCGATTTTCAATATGTTGCGTCGTTTTCGAGAAAAAAAAAATCCAAACTTTCGCTTTTTTTCGGTCTTGCAGGTAGGCGTAACCCCTTAAAGCAGAATTTGTTTTTTTATTTAAATCTAGTGGGGATAGAATAAGGCAAAGTGCAAAATTGCAAGGAAGGGGACAGGCCTGAGATTGAACTCCCTGTCTTCTGCTCAGTAAGCAGAAACGGTAACCACTGAACTACCGAACCTCGTCGTAATGCTACATCGACATGTTTCGTCTACTTACTACTCTCTGACGACTGTGCTGGGGAAGCAGCATATGCATGTACGTAATTGGTGGATTTGTTAATTATTTCGACCTAGATTTCGACGCTTTTGGATAATGCTTGACAGTTAGTACTTTTTCAATAGTTTCTTGTTGAACATAAACAGCCAAAAGCATTGATATCGATGCGTAAGCGTAGCCCTGATCGACTGGTGATAAAATTATTGAAATTGGTTCAGGGGCAGCTGAGTTATTAACGTTCAGAATCTGTCATAATTTGGTTACATGTTCCATTTTCAGTTTTCACAAAGTGTACCCCAATATAGAAATCAAAGACGTAGTCCTACGTCAAAATCATATAGACTTCATAGGCGAATCCAATAGAAACAAAGCAATCGTTTCAGCTTCTGGCGGTGAATAGGGGAGCCCTTAAAAGAGTGATGAGGGCTGAAATTTTCACCGTGAAGCATAGGAAGAGGAAAATATTTTCACCTCTCATCAAATTGTTTGATGAGAAAAATGAAGATTTATGAAATTTTCCCATTGGTTATGATATTCCGGATTTTTAATGTGGGTTTATTTGAATTGTACATTAGTTCAGATCTATATATCTATATATCAGATATATATAAAAGTAAAATAAAACCACTCCTGATGGAAATTTGCTAGTGTGCAATAAAGTATACATTATTTAGAGTTTTGAAATTCGTCATTATAATGTAAACAAATGGTTTGGATGACACTTCTTCTCAAAATCGCCTAGCCCGCTCTACATTGATGGTGCATGAAAAGAGCCTCTTCGGACACACAACGCTCATGTAATTTAGTGGTGCAATTTCCAATTATGGGACACATGAAAATTACGTGGAATTCACATAAATATTTTCCACTGGTTACATTATTGGATTTATTTTATGATTTGAGGAGGGGCACTTCTAGCGGAATGAGTATTTTTTTTACCCATCAATGGTTCTTCGCGAAACAACGTGTAGACAGCGCCGCTTTGAAAATTAAGCCTCGCTTCTGGCAACTGACAGTTTACGCAAACCGTCAGATTATGACAGTGCGATGGAGTGCGGTGTGATGGTAAACAAAACTCTTGTCTCACTTCCAGCCACCACACCACTCCACACTTGACCAAAATTTTGTAGGTGTGTGCGTTTGAAGAGATTCCTTCAGTGTCAAACCAATCCCTCGACCAATCCACTTCGTTTGTTTTGGTGCGATTGTGCAAAATACTCGGATGAAACACAAATACGAACATGAAAACAGAGCAACCACCACCAAAAAGCGAACGACGAACGGGAAAGATGGTCCCCTGGCGTGGCTGCTGCTGCTTTGCTGCCCTCACCGTTGAATGTGTTGTTGATGTTGTTACTGTGCTCTGAATCCGCTACGGCTACACTGCTGTCGGGGTGACGGACGGACGTGAAAGCATTCGGTGTGTTGCCGATGCCAAAGCAAAACTAGAGTCGGTGTGCTGCAGTTCGGACGCGTTTTTTTCTTCCTCTCGTAGCATGTTTTTGGATACGCGGATGGTGTGTGTTGATTTTTGATTGAACAGAATCGCGACTTTTCCTCCACTGTGTTCGCTCTTAGTGGGATGCTTTTGGATTGCAGTTTTTCTTTCGGTACACAATTTTGGCCATACAAAATGGATTGACTAACGAGATTGCGGTGAAATTTGTTGTGTAAAAGAGTGCTTAGTGAAAGAATTTTCCTCTGTGGATCGTAAAACGGATGCGACATACGTGCGTTCTAGAGCACCAGTGGATGAGAAGAAAACCAGGAGTTTTTGATGTGAAATGAAAATGTGACGTTTCCTGTCTGTTGATGGAAAAATTGATTCCAAGTTAATATCGGAATAATGAAGCGAAAAACGTCAGCAATGTGTATTTACTGTTTCCAATGCAAAAATGATGTTTTTTTTTATCTCTGAATGGGTTGCGGATGGCAGAGTAGCAGCAACAATGGTGGATTACTTGGGGATGCTACTCGGCTGCCCTGTCTGATGCTGTTAAATTGTAAGGAAGAAATAATGGTGGTATGTGCGCAAAAATAATTGAAAAATTTGAATTTCACCGTGCAAGGGAAATAATTCACTTTCAGTGTGAAGATGAATGCAGAGTGTATGTTGCTGGGATGGAATTTGAATTGATGTGCGTCATTTCTGAAAATTCCAATGAAGTTTCAACATACGTTTTGGAATAGCTTTAAGGTATGTTATTTATGATATATTTTCTCCGCAAAATTGTTATATAAATTGATACATACAAAAACTAGGTATTTTATGGCTTACAGATGGTTACCACAGCTTCTGTCGGCTCTTATTTTGAGTCTGTCTGTTTTTTGGGAAAATTATTTATCAGTGGTAATGAAACATTAATTGATAATATAGTTGTCTGTAAAGACCTCTTCAATTTTTTCCATGCGATGTATAGAAGAAATACTTAGGTCGTCCAGAAAATATATTCTCTACCATAGAAATGCATCTTCAGATGAGTTATTGAAATCGACCCCGGCCGTGAGCATGTAAGATAAATTGGTTCGGAAGATTGAGAGTAAAACGAAGACAGCGTCCCCACAGAAAGATTGCTATTTAATGCTTAGTGCATGCTCGAAGGGGACGCCTATTTGGTACATTCTATGTTTCCAACAGCTGTAATTAGCCGTTATTCGTGTGTTTTTTCACAGTGCAGATAAAATTGTGAGTGACCTGCTACAATTCTTACAAGGGTCATAATACTGGTCAGTGGTGACAATGACCCTGGCATGTATAACGACTGCTTAATAACGGTAACATTTATTGTTTGTAAGGGTTGTCCACATACCACGTGGGCAGATTTTGAGGGATTTATTTTGGTGTTTCAATATGTCATTGGAATCCGGAGACTTCTAAAAAATAATAGAATAATAGTAGTAGTAATAGAATTACTACTATGCAACACGGTTTTTTTTAAAAGTCGTTCGACGACCACACATCTACTCGAATTCATTAATTATTCTCTGGAAGCAATGGATAACGGAAACCATGTAGAAGTTTTGTACACTGACTTCAGCAAAGCATTTGATCGCGTCGACATACCCATGTTTTTTTTTTTAATTTGCAAAAGATGGGAATCCAGTCCAAACCCACTAGATAGATATCTGACCAATCGCGTTAAAAAAAAATTTTCCTTTGGTTTGTTTTCCGTGCTGAGCACAAATGCCACCGACGCGCCAGGAAGGCAGCTCCCACACCTGGACCCTACCTATCGCCCCATCAACTCATGAACCGGGGACCAACGGCTTTACTTCCCTTCCGAAGGAAGCCGTGAGATCAGAGATGTTATGCCTCAGAATATCCCGGTGGCGCCGACTGGGATTGAACCCAGGCCTGCTGGGGTGAGAGGCAATCACGCTTACCACTACACCACCGGCCCCGTTAAATCGCGATCAAATAGTAAGATTCTAAAGAAAACAAATCTACATAGGGGTATGTACAATTGAAACATGAATAGGGTCATGTCATGTCAGCCCAGGACTGAAAGTCTCCTTAATAAAGATAAAAAAAAAAAAAAACATCGGGAGTCCCACAAGGCTCTCATTTAGGACCTCTTCTATTCATTCTATTTGTAAACGATGTATCCTGCATTCTTCAAAAAGTATGGGAATTTTCATTATTGATATTATTGCTTACATTCTTTTCAACGCTTCGTTCGCCTCTACGCTTCGCTTTCACTATGAAATCGGCCTGAATGGTAATAATCGTACGTAATCGGGTTGAGCTTTCGATAAAGCGATATAATGTTGCATTTGTGGATGCTCAACGTCAGCATGTTCTGGGTGCACTAATCAACAAAACGATTCAAAAGCAGTTGTAGAGCACAGCTCAGTTCTCGATACCTTTAACTGACAGAACCTCAAGGGTGTAAAATGCGTGGCAACGCAGCACGACTGTCCCGTTTCCAAGAAACGTGCTTGATCACAGCATCGCCATGCACTTTGTACCCTTGGGGTTCTGACAGTTAAAGATCATGTATATTTTCACGTCATTAGTGTAAAACACACGGCAGCAGATGGTAGTACGTGAGAAAGCTCGTTTATGAAGTATGAGCTTAACAAAGGACCCAGGTTGCTCCCGTGTGACATGCCAAATAAGTTTGAAAATAGTTCTGAAGTTCAAATTCGATTTTAACGGTAGGGCTACGAATATTGTATGTGTGCACTGGGGTGTCTCATTACAAATGGCGTCTTCAGATGCAACAAACTATAATCTCACCATTAAATAATAGATTCCGGATTTAAAGTTAAATAAGAACCGCTTTAATCAATTTTGGCATCAAAAGAAGGATTCAATTTTATTTCAAACAACTCGGATCGATGCTACTAGTCTTTAGATTCTTAAGTGTCCCAGGGGCCTAAGTCTTGTACCTCCAAGACTGAAAAGTCATTCACAGTCGATTAGTACCAAATAAGTCTTGTACTGGCCGGATTCGAGACAAACACAATATGTTCGGGATTGTTGTCCGGCATTCTTACAACGTGTTTCGCCCATTTTACGCTTCCAGCTTTAGCGGCTTTCTGTATACTGGGTTCACTATAGAGTTGTGCCAGTTCGTGGATCATTATTCTCCTCCATTTGCATATACCGAGTCAAAGATGGTCATAAGCAGCGTTGCCAGGTTGCCAGGCACAGCCAGAGAAATTTTTGCTCTGCCAGACAGATTTTTTGAGAAATCTGGCAGCTTCCTATGTTAATTTGCTGTGCCAGATTTTCGCCAGACATTTTTTTCGGGTTTTGCCAGATTTTTTCTAAATAAGCCTGGCATCTCTGGTCATAAGCACGCGTCGTTCGAAAACTCCTAGAGCTTACAGGTCCTTCTCGAGCATTGTCCACGTCTTGTATCTGTAAAGAACTACCGGTCTTACCAGCAGCTGGTACATGGCACACTTAGGACGAGGGCGTGTGAATATTACTTTTCTGATTTTTTTTTCCTCTGTTCGGGACATAAAACCACTGTGACCAGTAATTTGATCTATTGTAGTCCCGTGTCCTTAGTTTAGTGCATATCGTATTACAACATCACTATTGAGAAATGATGAAGTCTCGATGAACATTTCAAATGGTCCTATCTGCTTTGATCGATTCTCTTCATCGACTTTCTCTTTTCATATCCACTGCTATGCAAACAGATTTCGCGCTAATTCTACCACATAGTTTGATAAAGGAGGTTCTTATCTAGCGTCCAAAACGTCAAATACAACAGGGAAAGGTTTTGCAGCTGAGTTATTGACGAAAGAGAAAGTCGATGAAGAGAATCGATCAAAGCAGATAGGACCATTTGAAATGTTCATCGAGAAGTATTCAGTTTTGATACATTTGCAGGGCTGTTACAACAGGCGCGTATTTAGTGAATTTCGTGGATTCCCCAGTCGAAAAAATTACAATCGCCAAGTCCGGTACCAAGGCGTTCATGGAAGCCCTGCAGGCCGGAGCTGACATCAGCATGATTGGTCAGTTCGGTGTGGGTTTCTACTCGACTTATCTGGTCGCCGATAGGGTCGTTGTCACTTCCAAGAGCAACGACGATGAGCAGTACTTGTGGGAATCGCCGGCCGGAGGCTCGTTCACTGTTTGCCTGGACACTGGAGAGCCTCTCGGACGTGGTACCAAGATCGTCCTGCACATCAAGGAAGATCAGCTGGAATACCTAGAGGAAAGCAAGATCAAGGCCATCGTGAACAAGCACTCACAGTTCATTGGCTACCCGATCAAGCTGCTCGTAGAAAAGGGTCCTGACCGTGCTCTGCAGTTGTGGTGCATTACACAAGCGTAGATCTAAATTTCTTCGTAGTGTTATCGTACAACCTAGTGGAATTTGGTCTGCTAATCCTGGAGAGGTAGTTGGTTTCCTAAACCATATCATACCTGACTGGGAAAGGACGTGTCCAGGCAATTACCTGTCCACTCATTAAATGGTGGTCAGCTTGCATGATACGAACAGTAAACAGGGGTACCACAAAAGTTCAAATAATGGACGCAGTGGTTCAACTCCTCCCAACAAAAAAAAAAAAAAAATAACTCGGAATTCAGAACTCAATTTTCTTGGAATTTTTGTTGGAATTGCTTTAAAAAATTTACTCAAAACTCTTTTGAAATACTCCTAAGAAGAATTATTTTCAGTGTTATTATTCTCGAAAATGAAAATCTAAAATTAAATTTATTGTATGCACCCTATTTTTAATTTGGATTTGGATATTAAACATTTTTAGGTTGATTTGCATTTCAAATGAAAATGCATAAATGTTTTAAAATAATGTTTCAGAAAACCTATGCCGCTTTTATTTATTAGAATCTCAATGTGACACGACATGAAGATGACACATTGGATCTTATTACCTATTAGTTATCACTCACTGTGAAGTGATTCTATTTGAATTACACGGCAATCACTGCACCGTGAAGTGACACCCGTAATAAGGGCCATTTTTATTTATTATTTTTTTCAAATGGTGCAAACAATACTCCCTTTGCTCTGTCAGTAAAGGTGATGTTACGAAACAAGTCTATGCTGGAGGAAGCTTGGTTCGATTCCCGTCCGGTCTATTAATTTTTTCGGGATGGAAAATTTATCGACTTCCTTGGGTATAGGATTGTACAGGCATAGAAAGCTCTCAATAAAATGTGCAGGGCTGATGGCAGGTCAGTTTTTAGTGACTTGGTCTATTTTGAAGCCAGTCACTAAAAAGTCACTTTTTACACCAAAAAGTCACTAAAGTCACTAATTCCCTAAAAATAGTCACTTAGTGAGTGAAATTTAAAAATATCAACAAAATGTTTAAATTGGATACTTGGCACTAAAAAATTCTTACGTAGTTTTAACAAAGTATACATATTTGTAAAAAAAATAAAAATTTTAACCAGGGTGACCAGTGAACCGCAAAACTTTAGAACACCAGGAAAACTATTGGGAAATGCCTTCAATTTCGATTAAAAATCGGGTAAAATATACCTCCTTTCCCAGAATATAAATTGTAAACCTAGGAAACTTTCCAAAGGTATGTGATCGATTTTCAAAAGTCTTTCAAGGATGATTAAGAATTTAAAAAAATCCAAAGTAAATTTAAGAGAAGTTTAAAGGATTCTAGGGATGACACAAAGATATATCAGAGAAGAATAGCAAAGTACAGACTACGAAAGTCTCATGTAAAATGAAGTGCTCTGAGGACCGATTTCTTCATCTCCGCTTAAATCTTAAGCCAGATTTATCTACATAGTTAAACTTGGCTTAACACATACGAGTGTCGCTTTTGATTATTGTTTAAATTAGTAGAGACGCAAAATTAAGCTCCGAAACAATTTTGGAAATAATTCCAATATAATTAGAAGTGTATTTTAACGAGCGTTCTGAAAAGAATTATTGGATGAAGATTCTAGATCAAAGTCTAACAAGTTCAAAATTAGTTCTTAAATTTTGCTTAAGAGAGCTCTGATGAAAATTCCATGAAAATCTTGTGAACTCCAAAGATGGTCTCTGCGGATATTTCTAGAAGAATTCTGGGGTGATTTCTAAAGATACTTCCAAGAGAATTCTTAAGAGTTCGAAATAAAATCCGAGAAGAATTCCAGTGGAATAGAATTATGTGGGTTCAATCTCAAAGGAATTCTGAGAAGATTTTCAAAATTATTCTGTGATGGGTTTTTGTTTTGAGAATTCTGAGGAAATACTATGGGAATTCTAAGCAGGATGCTAACTGAATTCCCAATTGGAAGCAGGGGAGGAGTCCAAGATTATTCTAAGTAGAAATTTATGAAATTTATGAAGTCAATTGCATGGAAATTTTAAAGAGAATTCCAATAAATTTAAAATGGATTTATGGAAGGAGCCTTTAGGGAGTTCCTAGAAGAATCAATAAAAAATGAAAATAATCTACTTTAACTAATCATGTGTTATTACTTCATGCGTGAAATTAACGATTTACATAGTCGGAGATGCTTAACGTCAAATATCAGACTTATAGTGGAGATTTTATACGATAGATGTGGAAATTAAATTATAGAGTTGATAGTTCCGTTATAGTATGGCAGTGTGAAAATTGTATATACAAAGTAGAAAGCGAGCAAAGAACAATTTTGAGGAAGGTACGAATCGGGTAGTTGTTTACGTCAGATGGCGACTTGAGTGTGAAACAATCGATAGAACTTTTTTCGCACATCGGAGGTACATGAGCAAATCGGCGGGGGAACACCCCTTACCATCCCTCATTAACGAATGTTCTACCTGATTCGTACCTTCCTCAAAATTGTCCATTGTTCGCTTTCTACTTTCTATATACAAATATCACACTGCCGTACTATAACGGAACTATCAACTCTTTACTTTCATCTCCTCATCTATCGTATAAAATGTCCACTTTAATTCTCATATTTGATGTTAAGCATTTCCTACAACGAAAATAATCTATTTCCAAGAATTGTGTTGATTGTTCTGCAAAGAATTTCAAGAATGCGATATTATTTTTGTAAAAGCTTATTTGCCTCTAAGTTTAAGAGAGGGGGAATTATTCTAAAAAAGTTCTTTAGATCATTCTGGAGAAATTCTGTGAAAAGTTCATAGCGAATTATCAAAGTTATCTACCTAGATATATCAAAGTTTTAAAGATTTCGATCGCAGAATCATAAAAAATGGGAATTACTATTTGCTAGTCATCATGTATAACGTAAGCAAAAGTAAATTATTCCAATCACTTCAAATACTCTTCACAGGAGATTCAGTTGTGAGATTCGATTAAATTAGAGGAATTTATGAAATTTGATTTTCAGTTCCAGGACATACAAAGTTTACTTCAATATCAAACGGTATTTGAATTTCCATATAAATAGTCACTTATTTAGTATTTACGAGTCACTATTTGGTCACTATTTCCGTAATTTTTGTCACTAAAGTCACTACTATTATATCGCAACAGCACTACCAGCCCTCAGTGTGAAGCGCTTCAAATACACTAAGTTGAAATTAAGCATACAGCTAATATGCTATAAGCAATAAGCTTGAAATGCCATGTAGTTGTAATACAAATGGTATTTTCAAGCAATGCAAACTGTTTTCTATCTGTCGCGGATTTGTATTTGAAGTCGTGGATTTCTTTTGAGAAATCCCGGATTTTGCGGATCAAATTTTAAAGATCTTGTAACAGCCCTGCAGTTGTCATTTTTACCTTCATCACAAGGAATCAATTCTTATTGAAAGGTGAGAGCAACACAATTAAGAAATGGCACCGATAATGACCATGCATCAGAACCCTAGTCTTCACCATTTCAAACTAGGGAACAACGAATAGAAGATTAGGAATCACATAGATGAAGACTTACTATCCCATTTTTCCTTGTTTCAAGATCACCCTCGGCGGACAAAGCCGGGTTTTGTTACTATCAACAAGGCATAAAAAGTAACAAGGACTAAGATGTGTTCCTTTGATTACTGAAAAATCCTGTTCCCCTAGTTTGAAGTAGTCAATACTAGGTATCGGTGGTAGATCTTACATCCCGTAACGTACCACGAAAAGGTGATCTACCCACGTTACGGGATTACTTTCTGATTAATTATCACTTCATATTTTAAGTCACTTTCATTCTTGAGTACACTTTCTTGTAACCTGACATAGTTAATTTGAAGCTCATGTGGAAATTTTAATAGGAAGAGTGAACTTTTGGTTGATTTTGTCGTTTTTGTTTGTTTTCGTAGGGCTAATAAAACAATCAATAATCCCGTATACACTAATGTGTAGTTAATGCGCCTACTCCAGCTTGTGATGAGTGTTCTTGTGAATTAATTATTCTGCTATTGTGAGCATGAAACAATTTCGCAGAATATTTTAAAATACACACCTTCTCTTAAACAGCCATAAATCTTATTTTTTTATTGGGTGGAAAATTAAGCATGCGCACAGAGTCACGCATCACCATTAGTCGATTTTCCAAATCAAGCGTTTTTCCAGTTTTTATTATGGGCCTCCCTAAGTTCTGTCGGTAAAGACCATTCTGAAGGCGGCCAGTTCCCGACTCCCCAACATTATATATCTACGAGTGCAATAATGCAACAGGCTTAGAAAACTCTAAATTAACAACTGTAGAATTACTCGCATCAGTTTAGGGCAGACATAAAGTTCCAGTTGTAACATAATTCCCAAAGCAGTAAATAATATTATATGAATCGTTTCCTAAAGAAATCATCTCCGAAGAATCATTTTCTACTCTCGTTAACGCTTTTATGAAAAAAGAACAGAAAAGGAAAAACGCCTTTCTTCAAACATATTAATATTTTACAGAGATATACATCAAGTCATAAACAACGGCCGATGCGTTTTTCCCATCAACAACCGAAACCGATTGGAGCGAAGGAAAATGCGAAAGCAAGAACAAAACAAAGCGATATTCCTGTCTACAAACCGCACGCCCGCTATTCTCTCGAAACATATACACAGACGACGATTGGTTCGTATTGCCGAAATAAAAGGGAAAACATAACAGACTGCAGCGGGAAAAATAACCCACCGTTTTGGGTATTTATAGCAACCTCTCACTATTCGGCTCCGAAAGGATGATGATGAAGCAATCAACCCGAAAAATCTGAAACTCCGAAAAAAATGTATATTCACGGCATTGCTGACAGAACAGTAGGAAAGATTACTCATGCTGCTGCTGCTTCTGCTTCTACGGTGGCAAGTCACACCAATCCCAACGGCAACCAGTCAGTCCGCCAGTCAGTAAGTGTTTGTGTAGGAAAGTCCCGGGAAATGGTTTCCAAATTTCGTTTTTCTTGCCTTTGAAGAGCAT